ATGTACGTGGAGGGGAAGAGAAACTCTAAGCACCTCATCTGAAGTAATAAAAGCAAGTTATAGAACTGGAACAATTACATTTCTATCAAATTCTGTACCTGTCAACAGTGGTGTCCCCCAAGGCAGTGTTTTAGGACCAACTGTCTTCATACTCTACATATAAATGACCTCTGTGATCATATTAAGAGCAACCACATTCTCTTCACTGATGATGTAAAGCTATTCAACACCACAGACAATACTGCTACCCTCCAAAAAGACCTTGACTATGTATCAGGATGGTCAATCAAATGGCAACTTCAAATCTCAACAAATAAATGCTCTGTCTTACATATTGGCAGAAAAAAATCAGAAAATAAAATACAAGCTAAATAGTCAAGATCTTGTTAAGGATCCAAACTTTGTCAAGGACCTTGGAGGACTCATCTCAATTGATCTAAGTGGTAGAGCCCACTGTAACTTCATAGCCAAAAAGGCATTAAGAGTTGTTAACCTAATCCTACGTAGCTTCTTCTCTGGTAATATCACACTACTAACTAGAGCACGCAAAACATTTGCTAGACCAATACTTGAATACAGCTCATCAGTCTGGAACCAATATCATGTGTCTGATATGCACAATTGAGAAAGTCCAGAAATATTTCACAAGAAGAGTTCTCCGCTCCTCTACTCATTGCACAATACCTTATGCCACCAGACTTGAAACTCTAGACCTAGAAAACCTAGAACTACGCCGCCTCCAGTCCGATCTAAGTATAGAATATAAAATCATACATTGCAATGTCCTACCTGCAAATGAATACTTCAGCTTCAATCATAACAATACAAGAGCACACAATAGATACAAACTCAAGATAAACCGCACCAAACTTGATTGCAGGAAATACGACTTCAACAACAGAGTGGTCAATGTCTGGAATACTCTACCTGACTCTGTGGTTTCTTCCCCAAACCCCAAAAACTTTAACCTTAGACTGTCTACTATTGACCTCACCCCTTTCCTAAGAGGTCTGTAGGGGGCGTGCATAAGCGCACCAATTGTGCCTACCATCCCTGTCCTATTGTTTTTTATTTTTCTTATAAGGATCTATCTCATGTATTCAAAAC